CCGCCTCAGCACACGCCTCCTGTCCCGAGCCCTGGTAAGGGGCTGGGACGCGCCCGCCGCGGTGAGCAGGGCTGGGCACACCCAGGGGAAGGGCGAGGGTCTCGAGCGGGACCCGAGTTTTCGTCTTTCTCAGTTTTCAAAGCCGGTGCGGGGAGGCGGGAGGGCCTGGCCGGGGCTGCTGCGACCGGAGTCGCTCCCGGCCGCCCTGCTCGCGCCTGGCTCGGTCCGTGCCGGTCACGCCCGGGCCGGCACATCCAGATGACCAGGGTGCGGGCAGTGCGTGTGCCTCGGCACCCTGACAGGGCCCGGGGAACGGGGCGCCCCCCATGCCTGGAAGTTCGCTGCACGGCCCCGGGGGTGCGCCCTGCTCCGGGGAGCCCTGGCGGGTGCCTCTGCGCTCCGGCTGACAGGAGGGGCGGCGGGTTTGAGAGGTTCAGGCTCTTTGGATGTCGATGAAGGGGGAAAAATACTGGGGGGGGGGCATGGGCTTTCCAGGTGCTGAGCAAAACAGAGTCACTTTAAAGTGAAGCACATAGAAATAATTTATTTTAACTTCATTTTACTTGACATTCCTAAGTAGCTATGACTTGTGACCTTGCCCGTGCATCCTGGCCCTCCAAAACCGCGACGGGAAGGTGGGGGAGCCCCAGCGCCCCCCCAGGCCACCCGCGCGGCAGGAGTGTGGGAAGTGCCGCGGGCTCGTGGGGCCCGGCCGGGGTGACCGGTCACCGCCACTCCCGGGAGAGCGTCCAGCCAAGCAACAGCAAGCAGCGCGTGAAAGATGCACACGGGCGCTGCCGCGATTCTGCGACAAGAGGCGCGTTTATGCTGACGTGACTCTAGGCAAAGCGAATTGCTCCGCGAGGCAGAGACGCTGCCCGAAGCGCCGCAAGAGGAGACGGGGGCAGGGGCCGCGGCCGGCGGGGCAGCTCGAGTCCGCGGGCCTGCGGCGCCGGCAGGGCCCACCCGCGGGGCTCGCGGCCGCCGTCATACGGTGGTCACCGACAGGAAGGAGTTGTACACCCGAGTGCCGTCCGGCGACTTGGCGCCGTGCGTCAGGAGCTCCTGGATCGTCATCCAGCTGTCGAAGATCCTCTTGTTCCTCCGCTTCAGCATCTTCTTGTGGCTCAGCTCCAGGATGCTCGGCTCGCGGCGGTCCTCGGCGCCCGGCTCGCGCGGGCCGTCCAGCCGGCTTTGCTGCAGGACCT